ATCCTCCACTGCCTTCCCGGGCCACAGCAGAGAGCTGGACTGGAAGAGGAGCAACCAGGACTAGAACCCGGCGCCCATATGGGGTGCTAGTGCTGCAGGCAGAGGATTAACCAAGTGAGGCACGGCACCGGCCCTGGTTTTGTATTTCTATTATAGCCATTCTAAACAGGATGAGATGGTATCTCATTGTGATTCTTATTTGTACATCTGTGACAACTAGTAACAGTTTTTCATATTTCTCTGGCATTTGCATCTTTTTAGAAATGTCTATTAAGATACGTTTCCCATTACTATTTGGATTTTTTTTCCTGAGTTGATCCTCATAAATCCTGTGTATTAATCCTATGCTGGATGAAGCATTTGCAGATGATTTCTCCACTTCTGCAGGTGGTCTGTTCACTCTACTCATAGTTCATTTGCTGTGCAGAAGAGTTTGTTTGATGTGGTTTTTCTGCCTGTTTACATATACTTTTTGGTTTATATCTAAGAAGTATTTGCTCAGATCAATGTCCTGAAGTATTTCCTATGTTTTCTTCTAGTAGTTCTATATGAACAAGTCTTCTAGTAAGTCTGATCTGTTTGGATGCATTTTTTGTATACAGTAAGACATAGGAGTCTAGATTCATTCCTCTGCATATGGATATACTATTTCCTTAGCACAATTTATTGAAGAGACTCTCCTTTCTGCAATGTATGTTCTTGATGCTGTTGTAGAAAATCAGTTGCCTGTGAATACATGGGTTTATTTGTGGGTTCTGTATTGTGTTCCATTAGTCTGTTGGTTTTCATGCCTGTACCACATTGTTTTGACCACTATAGCTGTGGAGCAAACAGTGTGCAATATATTCCTTCAAAAATCAATGTCAGCATGTAGTCTCTGCAAGAAACCACATGGGTAGAGACTAGCAAAGGCATGGAGCAATGGAGACAAGGAGCCCTCCAGTTAGATTTCAAAGAATACCTCAGACAACCTGGGAGTCCAAGACAAGAAATATTGCAGTGGCAGAGCCACTGAAGAAAACCTGCATTAGGGCCAGCGCCGTGGCTCAATAGGCTAATCCTCCACCTTGCGGCGCCGGCACACCAGGTTCTTGTCCCGGTTGGGGCACCGGATTCTGTCCCGGTTGCCCCTCTTCCAGGCCAGCTCTCTGCTGTGGCCAGGGAGTGCAGTGGAGGATGGCCCAATTGCTTGGGCCCTGCACCCCATGGGAGACCAGGAAAAGCAGCTGGCTCCTGGCTTCGGATCAGTGCGATGCGCCGGCCGCAGCGTGCCGGCTGTGGCAGCCATTAGAGGGTGAACCAACGGCAAAAGGAAGACCTTTCTCTCTCTCTCTCACTGTCCACTCTGCCTGTCAAAAAAAAAAAAAAAAAAAAAAAAAAACCCTCATTAGAGGAATGCCAACTGGAAATATGTGGTCTGAGTTGCTGCAGAGTCCCCAACATGGCAGTGTCTAGAGAAGCTGCAGAGACAGATGAAGCCAGGAGAAGTTAAACATGGGTTGTGGAAAGCAAAGCCCTGTAGGGCACATTCCCCCACCCCCACTTTGTGCCCAACATGCTTTAGGGGGAGGGGGGAAGGGGGGAGGTCTTTGATCCACTGGTTCACTCTTCCATTGGCCGCAATGACCAGAGCTGTGCCAATCCGAAGCCAGGAGCCAGTAACTTGCTGGTCTCCCATGTGGGTGGACTTGAGGGCCATCTTCTGCTGCTTTCCCGGGCTATAGCAGAGAGCTGGATCGGAAGTGGAGCAGCCAGGTCTTGAACTGGTGCCCATAAGGGATGCCAGTGCTTCAGGCCAGGGCATTAACCCGCTGTGACAGAGCATCGGCCCTAAAATTTTTAAGGTTTATTTTGTGACCTAACACATAATTTGTCTTGGAGAGTATTCCAAATACTGCTGAGACAACTGAGTGCTCTGCAGCTGTTGGGTGGTATGTTCGTACATGTCAGGTTCAGTTATCCGACATGGGGTCTAAATCTGATGTTTGCTGTTATTTCTGTCTGGTTGATCTGTCCATTGCTGAGTGTAGTGCGCCGAAGTCCACTACTGGTATTTTATCACAATATATATCCTTTATATCTAATACTAAGCACTTTATTTGGGTGATGTGGCCTTAGATATATGTATACCAGCAATCTTCAAAGTTCATGGAAATGCATATTATGAAAAAATTACAGTTTCAAGTTTTTGTACCAAAGTAAACTTAGCTTTTTAATTCCATTTCTTTCCACAACTTTCTGAAGTACCCTGTTTATACTTATGTCCTCTCTTGGAATTGACTGATTATTATATAATGACTTTCTACTTTCATGGTTTTTGACTCAAAGTCTGTTTTATCTGGTATGAGTTTAATGACCTCTGCATCCTTTTTTGGCTTAAATTTTTGTATGGAATTTTCTATCCCTTTATTTTCAGTCTATATATACCCTTATAGGTGAAGCAAATTTCTTTCAGGCAGCATAGAGTTCTGTTATTCATTGGTTCAATCACTCTATATCTTTTAATTGGAAAATTTTTAAAATTTATATATTTACATTTATTTAAAAGGTGGAGACAGACACAGAAAGGTGTTATATCCACTGGTTTGCTCCCCAGATACCTGCGACAACTTGTACTAGACCAGTCCAAATACAGGAACCCGGCACTCAATCCAGGTCTCTCACATGGGTGGAGAAAACCATGTATTTGAGCCACCACCTGACACCTGCCAGACTGTGTGCTAGCAGAATGCTGGAACTGGAAGTGGAGCTGTGGCTCAAACCCAGGCACTTGAGTCTGAAGTGGCATTTTAACCTCTGGGTCAAATGCCTACCCCAGCCCATATGAATTGAAGGTTATTATTGATTTAGTCCTTCATTTTTGTTGTTTCCTGGTTGATTTGTTTCTTTTATCGTATTCACATTTTTGTTTTGAGCAGTTTTCTGTGGTGATAATCTTTGAATCCTTTATTTTTGCCACTATGCATCTACTGTTAATTTTTTTCTTTGCATTTTCTTGGGGCTTACATGAAAGTATTAAACTAGATTAAACCAATAACTTGTCATATAAAAACATTGTAGACCTCCCCTTTATCACAATTTAAAATTTTGTTGCTTTAATTAAGACATATTTATATTGTTTCCCTTAGCAGCTTATTGTAAATAGAGTTCTCATTGACCATTTTTATTTTTAACCTTCACACTAGAGATCTGAAAGATTATATACCACCATTATAGTAATATAGTCTTATTCTGAATATAAATTTACCTTTACCCAAGAGCTTTATGTATTTATGTTAGTACTTAATCTGGCCAAGGCACTCCTTAATCATTTCTTCCAGGGCCAATGTGATGGCAATCAGTCCCTCAGCTTTCTCTTGTTTGGAAAAGATTTTGTTTTCCCTTCTCTCTGAAGGATAGCTTTGCTAGGTATAGAATTCTTGACTGACAGATTTTTCTTTCAGTGATTTGAATGTATCATTCCATTCTCTTCTGGTCTCCAAGGTTCTGCTTAGAAGTACGCTGGTAGTCTGATGGAGATTCCTTTATATGTGACTCGATGCTTTTCTCTTGTTGCTTTAGAATTCTCTTTGATTTGACAGAGTAATTGCAATGTGCCCTGAGAAATCATCTGTGTGTTGAATCCACATAGAATCCTTTGAGCTGCATCAATTTTGGTGCCCATATCTCTCCTAAGACTTCAAAGTTTGTGGCTATTTGACTAAATATACTTTCTGTGCCTTTCTCCCCCACTTCTCTTTGTAACTCATAATGCAAACATGTGTTTGCTTAAGAGTGTTCCAAATTCCTGTAGGCTCTCTTTGGTCTTCATTCCTTTTTTTTTCCCTCTATTATTTCCTCTGACTGGGTTATTTAAAATTATCTTCCTTCAAGTTCATAAATACTTTCTTTTAATCTAGCATGCTGTTGAAAATTTATCATTGTTTTAATTCCACTTATTGATGTATTCAGTTCCAAGATTTTTAACTTTTTCACATCTTTCATTGAATTTTTCATTTAGATCATGAAATTTGATTTTGTTCAATGTCTATTTGTATTCTCATTTTGAATTCCTTTGCAGATAATTCATAAAATCAATGTTTGGGTGAGTTAGTTACTGGAAAATTATTGTGCTGCTTTTGTGGCATTATAGTTGATTGCTTTTCTGTGTTTCTTGTGTCTTGGCATTGATATCTGTATATCTGGTACAATGATTGCCTCTTGGAATTTTATGAAGTGACTTTCATAGGTAAAAATGTTCATCTGAGGGTGTGTCTTAGGGTTACAGCTGGATAGCATGCATTGCTTTGATTCCAGGTAAGTACAGTAATGTAGTCTCTGAACTGTACTCATTGTCATTGCTACTTGTATGTGCCCCCATTAACCTGGGCTATAGGAGTTTGTGCAGCAGTTCTGCCAACTCAGAAGTTTTCCTGGGAATGACATGTCTGGATAGTGAACAAATTGGCCCTGCACAGGAGCAAATCCATCAATTCAAGGTTGGCCTTCCTTGGGAGTGACACACAAGGCTAGTAAGTGGACCGGCAAGCGGACCAGCTGTGCATGGGGGTCAGAACACCAGTTTAAGGTGGGGCTGTCTTGGGAGCAGTCTCTCTGTTCATGTTGCCAGTCTGGGCTTGGCTTTTGGACATGGCTGAACTGCCTGTTCCTTTGGGGTTGGGACACTGCATGTGCTGTGGTGCTGGAGTGGCTGTGGTGCTGGCTTTGGAAGTCACTGGAACATATAAGGTGGATTACCTCCCAAGCAGCTTGTTCCCAGGGGCTAGAGTACTGTCACTGATCCGCCATGGAACTGTGTGCTATCATGTGTAATGATGTATAATGGCAGCATAGTCTCAAGCATGGAGAAATGCAGTGGGAATTGGCTTCTGGAGCAAGGTACACTCATTAGTGGTACCAACATCAAGGCGGCACCCTACAGTTGATGCTTGGGTTGCCAGGATGAGGGAGCACAATGTGGGCTCCTTCTCAGTTAGTATAGATATTTCAGTTCTAGAAAGCTCTCTCAATGGGACTCAGGTCTTATAGAAACCGCAGGGCTCTCTAGCTACAAAGACTGAGTATCTGTGCATAATGCTGTGGACTTCCTGCTTATTTTTCCCAACAGAGAAGTACCTCACTGTTCTAAGCTTATCCCCACTGGGAACATTCTGGGGCAGAAGGCAGGCAGTTCTCTCCTCTTTATGCAACAGCCTAGTCTCCTTGCCCCACGGGGTCTCAGTCACTCCCTGCTGCACCTCCGCACTCTGCTTCAAATACTCTAGTCTGCATATAGTTGTTTGTTGATTGCTTTGGTCCTTTATTGTGGGCAGTATGGATGTTACGCAATGCTAGTCAACTCTGTTGCTCAACCTCCTGAAGTAGCTCACTTCCGCATGAAGAACAGTCCTCCATTTTGGAATATCATCCCCTCTGACTAGACACGGTAGCGCAGCAGGATTCCTCACAGTGTGGTGAGTGAGACGTGCTCACACCAGATGGACCCTGGCAATCAGTGAGCTGACGGCTGCCACGACAGTATCATCCTCAAGTCTTGGTAATCGCCTGAGGTCACCAGCCAAGAAGTAAGTGGTTCATGCCCAAGAGAGTTCTCGTGCATGAAAACAAGAGCTAATATCTGGGGAGGGCCCAGCTCTCCTAGCTCCATCAAACTGTGTGTGGGAAAACCACGGCACCAGAGAAAAGATAACGGCCCATGATTTCCAGGGTCTGAGCAAGAACTGCTTATGTTTCCCCAGTCCATAGATTTCTGTCAGGATTCAAGGCGCTTCCCATTTTATTTCCTGACTCATCTTCTTTTGGAGGTTACGTGCGGTTTTTAATGTTTAGCCTCTTAAATCCTCTTGAAAGAAATAGAAAAATGAGAGGGGGGGAATGGAATCTTTATTCAGTCCCAAGGACAGGCTCTGACAGAAGGAAAAAACAAAGCAGGAGAGGCTGGGGAGGCTCTGACAAGGTCCATTACAGCTGCTCCCTTAGCCTCGGGCCTATAGTTCTGTTTTTGAAACAAGCCTTGAGCACATTTATCTTTTTTTAATTAGCCTGCCTTTCACTTATGGCATTTTACATTTATTATTCTAAGTGATTTCAGTGTTATCAACAATTATTGTGCAACTCCCTTTGCTTGGGTTAGTTTCTTCTAAAAGAATTTTTAAAAAATCCATTGTTTATTTTCTGTATTGCTTGAAAGAATGAGAATGGTATCAGTTATAGGGTTTTAAAGACTGTAATGGGGGGAAAGGTGCCTTTGTTAGTCAAAGGGAAAATGGTCTTTATCTTCTCTCCTACCAGATTCTACTAATAATTAAAATATGCTTTATTTTACTTTTCAATAAATTGGAATAAATGGCATTTTGTTTTGCATTTGAGTAGACCATATCCCAGAACAATATTAAATAATCACAAACAGTCTGTGGTTTTTGTTTTGGACTTCCTGGCAGCACGAATTGTGAGAGATGATGCAACATTCTCTCTAATTGGCCCTGGTATGAAATCCTGATGCTGGACACAAAATTCCTTCCAGGCTATGAGTTACTGCTGGGATTGTACAGAGTTCTCAGATCCAGAAAACAGTTTGTTACACTCACAAACAGCCAGTGAAGTTATATCCAGACTGGTGTTAAATGGCATTGGCAAAACTGAATACCAGAGGTCTATGCCACAGCCTGTTGGGTGCATCTCAGAGCATTTATGGTGATAGTTAGATGTGAAGCTGAAGACTCAGAGCTGAAAATCAAATGGAGACAGGTATAGACAACTACAGGGATACAACTGATAATTTGAGAAAATAAAGCACTTCGCTACAAAAAGGGTAGTGATTTGGATAGGAATCCATTGGCAATTCCACTACAAGTGTGTGTCACTGAAAGTCTTTCTGTCACAATTTCCAAGGGTGGTGGGTATTGTGATGGGTTAAGCAATGCCTTGGAGTGCTGGTATCATATATTGGAGTAACAAGTTCAATTCCTGGCTACTCCACTTCCCATACAGCTTCTTGGTAATGCATTATGGGAGGCAGCACATGATAGCTCAAGTGCTTAGGCCTCTGCTCCCCAGATGGAGTTCTGGAATGATGGCTTTGGCCTGGCCCAGCTATAGCTGTTGGTAGCATTTGGTGTGTCAACCAGAGGGTGGAAGATCTCTCTGTCATTCTTTCAAGTAAATGAAAATAAATAAATATTTTAAAAGATGGTATACTTTTTTTCATATTAGCCAGAACAACTTGGCTAACTGAACCCACAAAACTATCTCAGGGAAGGCTGTGTTTCTGTTTGGGACTGGCTTATTTCCCTTATAAGCTCTCCTCCTCTCCTCCTGTATTCTCATAGCATCCAAATCCTTCCTGTCACTTCCTCTCGGCACATCCATGGCCTCTGCCTGATTGCCTGAGCTCTAAGCAGAAAACTCTCCCCTCGTGTAATCTGTTTTCCAGAGTTGGTCTGTTTCCAGAGTTACAGACTAATTTTGAGAAAGGCCAAAGATGAGGGTGTGGGGTGGTCTAGAATCTATCTTCTGACTCAGACCACCCACTAACGAGGGGGTGGGCATTGGAGCTGTAGGTTTCTGGCTTTGGCCTGGCCCTGCCCTGGCTGTTGGCATTGGGCGAGTGAATCAGCACATGAACAATCTATCTTTGTGCCTTTCAAATAAATAAAAATTAAGAGGAGCGCTCCATGACAACTTCCTTAGGCCGTGGCTCTAGTATCATAAAGGGGGCAGACAGGGCACAAACCAGAAACTGAAATTATAGGCCGGCGCCGCGGCTCACTAGGCTAATCCTCCGCCTAGCGGCGCCGGCACACCGGGTTCTAGTCCCGGTCGGGGCGCCGGATTCTGTCCCGGTTGCCCCTCTTCCAGGCCAGCTCTCTGCTGTGGCCAGGGAGTGCAGTGGAGGATGGCCCAGGTGCTTGGGCCCTGCACCCCATGGGAGACCAGGAAAAGCACCTGGCTCCTGGCTCCTGCCATCGGATCAGCACGGTGCGCCGGCCGCATCGCGCTGGCCGCGGCGGCCATTGGAGGGTGAACCAGCGGCAAAGGAAGACCTTTCTCTCTGTCTCTCTCTCTCTCACTGTCCACTCTGCCTGTCAAAAAAAAAAAAAAAAAAGAAATTATTGGCTGTACCTGAACACTATTCCCAGTAAGTCACTATTCTCCTAGGAATGTAGCTTTCATTTAGTATTAAATTGCAAGCTGAAGAACTGAGGATTTGTGTTCCTTTTTGTGAGAGTCCTTGCTGAGATAGTGCATCGTGACCCCCTGCGGTGGGACCAACGACCAAAGGAGACGTGGGTCTCTGTGCCCTGCCTTCCTCTGTCCGACTTCCACCATTGCTTTGGAGTCAGCTCAGTACAGTTGTCTGCCAAAATCTCCTCCTTCATCTACCCTTCCTCCTACCGCACAGGGCTTGAGTGCCCTCCCCCAGGCATGCTGCTGTCATTTACTGATAGATTTCTCTTTCTCTTGCATCCCAATGCAAGTGCCATGCAGACACGCTGTGTCTTACATGCCCTATCACAGGGTTCAGCACGTGTAGCCTGCTGTAGATGGCTAAAGGTAAGGCAAAGATGCAGCCACTACCACTTGTATGCGACCTGCCATGTTCAACACTCAAAAATGTGGCTGAGAACAATTGTCCAGACTGCATTCAGTGAATCTGGTGTACTGATAAAGATGGAAGGGAGGGAAAAGAAAATGAGAGTGTATGTAAGGTGAAGATATCTCACTACCAGCCTTCTCCAGGAAGTGACTGATAAGGAGCCCCAAAGCAATTGTGGTTTTTCTTGAGGCCATGAACTCTGCTTATGTGTCAGGAAGAGTCATTGCTTTGCCATTCAAGGAGAATATTTTTTTATTTACTTATTTGAGAGGCAGAGTCACAAAAGAAGATAAAGGGCTTCCATCCCCTGGTTCACTCCCGAAATGGCCACAATGGCCAGAGCTGGGCCGATCCAAAGCCAGGAGCCTCGAGCTTCTTCCGGGTCTCCCACAAGGGTGCAGGGGCCCAAGGACTTGGGCATTTTCCATTGCTTTCCTAGGCCATTAGCAGAGAGCTGGATAGGAAGTAGAGCAGCTGGGACTTGAACCAGCACCTAAATGGGATGCCAGTGCCGCAGGTGGAGGCTTAGTCTACAACACCATGGTGACGGCCCCAGAAAGAAATCTTGAACTTGCAGGTTAGGTGTTCCCAAGAAGTTAGAGAACAAGGAGCAGACAACATGATGCACAGAGAAGCCTGCCAGGGTGAAAGGAGAGTGGGCTGTGGGCGGGACTTGGCAAGCCTGAGAAGGAATTGGATGAAATCACAGAAGTAGTGTAAAGCCATGCCCTCCCTGCAGGGGAAGGAAGAGACAAAAGACACAAGGCAACCTTAGGGACCAGGCAAGCAGTGTGAGCACTGAGCACCATCTGGAGATAGACCTCTGTGCCCTAGCTGGCTCTTCTCCAGATACTGCGTGATACTGAGCTGCCTCCCACTGAGCAAAACCATTCATTTATGGCTGGTTAGCAATCTTGAGGTCGTAACCAAGTCCTCAAGGCATTGGTACACAACTTCTGTGACTCTCATGAAAATATGCTTTGCTATGGAGGAAGGCTGTCTCAGCTCAGGAGCTAGCAGGCTCGAAGAAATTTGCTACAGCATCCCTTTGCCATGGTGCTCTAAAGACATGGATGTCTACTTTAATCAAGCGTAAGAGCTGGTGACAGTCTAAGGACCAGGTTCCATGATCACTATTAGTTACATTTATGTAATTATCTGGTGAACATAAGTAAATAATTCTGGCACCAAATCCATGTTAAAGTGTTTGGATGGGATAGTATTAACACACATGGAGTAATCAGAGTGCCAGGCCTTATGCTAGAAATTTTGCCTTGTTTTTCTCATGAGATCTGATTTTACACATACGGAAACTGAAGCTCTAGGGGGCAAAGTGAGTTGCCCATGACCCCACTGCAAGTTACCAAGGTATATTTTGGAGTAAGGTCTGTTAGACTCTTACTATTTACAATCATAATAGTAGTAACAGTAACAATGGATGTGTATGTAGTGTTTGTTTATTGAGAATGATAATACTACTGTCCCTCTCCTTTCACAGATAAGGAGGCTGAGGTCAGAGACTTCAAGTAACTTGTCCAGGGTCACACACATTAAGAGGAAGAGCTGAGATTAAATCTAAGAAGTCTGACTCCAGAAACTACATTCTCAACATATGCTATTGTCCCTATTTTTAAATGTTATAGAACTATGTGCTTTCCAGAACTATAGACCTTCTAGAGAAGGTCACAAAATCCAAAGTGGCATCAATGAATTACCAAAGGGATATGTGCCTGACCAGAGTCCTAGGCTGGATAGAGATGGTAAGACCAAGTAAGTAGGACAGACTTTGACACTTCTTGTAATACTGCAGGACTATGATTCTGTTACACACACCTACTGTGGTGTCTGACCTGCTGGAACTCTGCTGGCTGACAGCAGGCACCCAGTGAGCCTCAAAGGATCCTGGGGAAGGTGCTCTCAGTGTGGACAAAGGCTCTACTTCCCACATCAGCAGCTGCCCCACGGTAG